TGTAAGTAAATGATGACGTACATTAACTTAAATATTCTCCACATCGTTAAACACAAATCTAATGCCTTCCTCACATTTATACATGAAACTAATACATACATATCAACTTTAAGGTCCATTTTCTACATTGTTTTTCAACGTTTTAGCTACGATCAGCGCCTTTTAAAGAAATAAAAGACTACTTGTAATATCTTTAACTGGAGAAATGGCGCCCCCTACTGCCTTCTTCATGAACAACAGCTAATAAGCACATAACAGTAGTGGATGGGAACAGAAATTAATACACACATTAATACACATTAATACACACATTAATACACACATTAATACACACATTAATACACACATTAATACACACATTAATACACACATTAATACACATTAATATACACATTAATACACATTAATACACATTAATACACATTAATATACACATTAATACACATTAATACACATTAATACACATTAATACACATTAATATACACATTAATACACATTAATACACATTCATACACACATTAATACACACATTAATACACATTAATACACATTAATACACATTAATACACATTCATACACATTAATACACACATTAATACACACATTAATACACACATTAATACACACATTAATACACACATTAATACACACATTAATACACACATTAATACACACATTAATACACACATTAATACACATTAATACACACATTAATACACATTAATACACACATTAATACACACATTAATACACATTAATACACACATTAATACACACATTAATACACATTAATACACACATTAATACACACATGCACACATTCATACACACATTAATACACACATTAATACACACATCAATACACACATGCACACATTCATACACACATTAATACACACATTAATACACATTAATACACATTAATACACATTAATACACATTAATACACATTCATACACATTAATACACACATTAATACACACATTAATACACACATTATACACACATCAATACACACATGCACACATTCATACACACATTAATACACACATTAAGACACACATCAATACACACATGCACACATTCATACACACATTAATACACACATTAATACACACATTAATACACTGA